AATGACAGGTGTCGAGTGTCTTAATGGCCTTTAGAGCTGGTAGATCTGATAACCTGTGAAGAGGCCCTTCCTGTGATCCTCCTCCATTGTCTCTGTGTGGTTGTTTGAATCATCTTAACTGACTAATACAGAGGCTGTTAGGGAGGTGAACAGTGGAACAGGGTCAGGAACTCAATGTGTTGGGGACTACCTAAAAAAAGCACACCACTTCGATACAGCTACGAACTGAAGTTAGTTTTTATCCTCTGATGTTTGTTGTGTAGCAAATATTGATTTATGTTTTTTTCCCGTGAAGCGCGTTCCATTGCGTTCATGTCTGAAATGTGCTATATAAATAAAGCTTGATTTGATTAGGGTTAGCGAAAATGCTCTCCTAACCTGCTACGTAAAGTATAACAAAAACCCTTTTCCAAACCTTAACCTAATTCTCTTAACCTGCTACGTTAATTATCCTAACCTGCTGCATAAGTTCTCCTAACCTGCTACGAAAACGTAACTTCTGGTCATAGCTGTATAGAAGTGGTTTGTTTTTAGAGAATCTCCAAGGTGTTGATGGAAGGGAAATGGATTGGCAAAAAAAAAAATTTGATTACTCAACCGCGACTGACACTAGGGCTTCAAAACACAAAGCTGGATTTGTAGAATGTGACCGTATGTTTGGTTCATAGGTAATGTGCTGATGGATGTCTAAAGGAGATGTTCTAACAAGATAATAAAACAATGTACTTCCATGTTGCCAATGAAGCTCTCAATAGTTTCAAAAACTTGCTCTCAACAGGAAATATGGGCACTGCAACAGCCTCTTTGTGAATCGGCCCCTATGGAGAACAAGTCTCAACATGTTCAGAGAATTGCAGGACTGCAGGCTAGTTGCTGTTATCTTGCAGGTGTTGGCGGAGCTAATTCAAGATCCCCAGACTAGTTTCCTGTTTGTCCAAATTGATCAAAGTAAACAGTGTATTTATTTATTTTCTGCACAAGGCATTATTTGAATAAGAAAAGCCGAGCTAGCTACCTGCCAGGGCAGGTTTTGTTTACCGGATAGCTGGATAAGCCTGTGCAAAGCTTCCCTCTTATCTCGGAAGTGACAGAAATACAAATAAGTCTCAAAGCCGTCTCTTTTAACAATGTGTATTCACCTCCAACCATGTTATTTATTAGTTTGTTCATCTGTGACTTTGTATTTGTTTGTTTTGGACCCAAACCAGCAGTTTACAGTTACAGTTTACAGTTGCCGTTCTCCTGAGTGGCGCAGTGGTCTAAGGCACTGCATCGCAGTGCTAACTGTGCCACTAGAGATCCTGGTTCGAATCCAGGCTCTGTCGCAGCCGGCCGCGACCGGGAGACTCATGGGCGGTGCACAATTGGCCCAGCGTCGTCCAGGGTAGGGGAGGGAATGGCCGGCAGGGATGTAGCTCAGTTGATAGAGCATGGCGTTTGCAACGCCAGGGTTGTGGGTTCAATTCCCATGGGGAATAATAAAAAATAAAATAAAATAATAAAATAAAATTGTATTCACTAACTGTAAGTCGCTCTGGATAAGAGCGTCTGCTAAATGACTAAAATGTAAATGTAAATGTTTATTTCCCCTCGCCAGCAGTAACATTTGCATGTGATAGCCCATTCCCAGTTGTTAAGCTATCGCCTATGTTCTAGTTATGTTAACTAAGGCCCATAATGGTTTTTGCACATATTAAAACGGGATTAGCATCCATTTCATGTGTAAATCAGGTGCTGCATCTGAAGTGCATATTGTGTACCGCTGCCAACTAGAGAATCATGGATTTCTCTTTATAATAATAATAATAATAATAATATGCCATTTAGCAGACGCTTTTATCCAAAGCGACTTACAGTCATGTGCGCATACATTTTTTACGTATGGGTGGTCCCGGGGATCGAACCCACTACCCTGGCGTTACAAGCGCCATGCTCTACCAATTGAGCTACAGAGGACCACAAATATCCCCGGGCTGAATGAAATGCGGAATATAATATGAATGTTATGAGTTTATTATGTGTGGGCTGAAATATTAAGTACATTTTTAGTTTATTCAATATCATATTTTCCCTCAAATATTTATATTAGTTTCTCACTTTTCGGGATGTAATTTGTGTCTGACTGCCCTCCATGCCCTAAGCAGAGTACTGATTATACAGAATATCCTATTCAAAGCAAGTTGTGATAAATACCTCCTGCCCAGTGATGGGGAAAGAACATAATGGGTGCCACTGCTGCTAAACCATGGGGGGGTGTTGTCTAGGTGGAATACAGCTATGACCGGAAGTTACTTTTTCGTAGCATAATTAACATGGCAGGTTAGGAGAATTAGGTTAAGGTTAGGGAAAAGGTTAGGATTAGTGAAAAAGCTCTCCTAACCTGCTACGAAAGGTCACTTCCGGTCGTAGCTGTACTCCAACTAGTCACATCCGTGGTCCCCCCTCCCTACCTCTGCCTGGCTGCTGTGTATTTGTTCCCCTGTGCACGGTGCCTTGCTCAGCTCCTATAATTGATGCGCTGCGCGTACTGTTGATTGTTGGACTGCACCATTCGCCTCCTCACCGCCGGGGAAGATGTAATCCGAGCTCTACGCGGAAGCTAGCGTTGTAAAGGCTCTGAAGAGGGCATGGTCCTGCGCTTTCTCCCCTAGCCACTCCTCCCCTTTCTCCGAGTTGCAACTTCCCCTTTTTTCTCAGCCCTCTCTCCTTGCTCATTATCCTCGCTCGCGCAGTCCTGTGGGGCCATCGGTAGTGAGAGCCTCCTAGTTACATCGTTCTGTATTTTGAATCGTTACTGAGAAAATCTATCGGTGTGGCACGGACGGCGCTATTACATACGGAGAATCTACTACACCTACTGTCACGCACGCACGCCCATTCGGTGACGTGCTCGAGCATGTCCACATCAGAGATTGTCACGGATCTACCTGCGAGTACCCTGCCCTGCTCTACTAGGCACTGCGATTCTACCACTCTGACATATTTGGGAGTCAACGATTCGCAGTGAAGGAATAGGAAACCACTGCCGGATTACCAACATGGGTTTCTACGGCACTTTAAAGATGATTTTCTATAAAGTGAGTAGGCTTTCTACGTCTATATACATCATCATGCCGCACAATCTCGCTGTCATAATCGTTGCGTGATTGACGTGTTGACCAAGCGCCTGGGAAATATGTTCTGCCGGTTGCGAATCGAATGGCTGAAAATGACGCGGCGCTGTGTAAATCAGCAGCTTATATGGGCAGGCACTGCAGAGGATGAACAGGAACAGCAGTGAAATGATGCGGGGCTCATATCATAACCGATTTGATTAATATTTTAGAATGACTGAAATGCATACTGAGCACATCGGTCCTGGGTTCATTGTTATGACATTCAGGGTAAAGGGATGTCGGCAACCGAATAAATACAAATTGCTTATGCATTGGTTTTATGCATAGGCCTATTGCATAGTAATTACACGTGCGGTTTGCTGCCCTAGCGTCACATTTTCATACTATAATATTTGAGCAATGAGCATTCATTCCTTTACCATGGATTCTGCCCGTTGTTGAAGCGCGGTGACCCAGCCTATCTGCTCATCAAGTAACTGCAGTTGCGTGTCACATTGACCGTGTGAGCAGTTTGTTCCTTTGCATCACTGCATCACGGCATATATTAACCAATTGGCTACAATTGTACATTTTAGAGAGAGTGCGTTTACATCAAAAGGAATGATTAGACTAGATACTTTGCATTTTTATGTTCTTATGGTGGATGCAAAACCAGACCTATTCAGAATATGGTAATTTTCCTCCCATTTTGCATAAAATATAGCCTCCATTTCCAGGTTATAGTGAACAAGATGTTTTTTTTATCAATGCTTGTTAGGTTAGGTTGTAGCTATTCTGTTTCCTATTCCATATATTTCCCTTGGTGTGCCTATGTGTTATGCATCAGGCTATTACATATGCAGTTATGGGCATCTTGTGTTGCCAAGTGACTCACACATCATATAGCCTACAGGAACTATGCAGTATCTGTTGAATTGCCTGTTGAAGAAGAGAGTATATTCCTGACACTGTAGACTTGCTTGAGGCTTCAAGCACAAATAATGGGTCACTGTGTCAGACTGTGTGTATAAGGCAAAACAACCTTGAAGATAGATTTTTATTCGTTATAGTATCAGTCATCCAGAAATGTACGCTTATTATGGTTGACATTTTCATAGACCTTGGTGATGAGACTGCAAGTCGTTTGCTACAACCAACATCACAGCATCGCTCAAAAGCGATTACGGTTTCAAGTGCGAATAACATTGACGAATGCTGTTGCTGATCCGTTTAATAACTTGGCTGTTTGGAAAGTGAGCCCTATGAGAGGCAATCAACCGGTATGAACTGAGCACACCGGAAAATCGGAATAACGTCTGTTACCGGGCAGCGGAACATCCCACACCCCCCGTGTCATTGTCCACCACCACCGGTTACCGTTAAACAGTATCAGCACGTCCTCCCGAAACTACAAAAGGGAACGTGCAGCTGTTGATGGTTATAGTGGATCATATTATGTAAACAAATTGGGTAATCACTTAAAATTCATTTGCTCAAAATCCAAGGAGGAAAGTGCTGGCTAGTCAAATTGACTGGGCTGCTGGGGGGTTGGATGCATTTCAGGTTTTTAATCAGTGGGATTAAAATGTGGACTATTTGTGTCCAGCCAGGCAAGGCGTTTCCCACCTCTATTCAGATAGGAGGATTTAAAATATGATAATGAGGCTTTCTGTTGATTATTTCCATTTCAAGCGGTATCGAGTAGGAGGCTATAATTTCATACCTAAATTATATTTTTCTGTCGTTCACTGTGAACTCTTGTTGTAGCGAATTCTACTCAGTTAGTAGCCTGCTCTTTCTCTCATTCATATTCTCAATCTCGACTCACTATTCTACAGAGAGTTGTATAATTTCATGCCTAGGGACTCTTTCTCTGCTATCAACTTAGCTGCTGTTATAGGGAGCATGTTCTACTCTGAAGGCAAGGTTGTGCTCAGTGTCTTCTCGTCAGAATTGTCTGTTTTAAGCCCCGCAGGCACAGAGAGGGAGACTGGCTGCTTTTTCAAAGCCTAATAGAAAATCCAGTTTATGACTTTAATTTCTCTGAAAGCAATAGGTCCCTTTGCTATCTGTTCCGTGCAAATAGATATTACGGATGCCCCATCTTTTTCTAGTTATGTCTCAATTCTATTTGTTTCTCCTATGGAGATCTTGAAATGATTTCATGGCTGCTTGACATGGTAATTGAATAACTGTGGCATACACAGAGAATGTTATTCCAATGATTCATATTTTCCTAACGAGGTCTACATTTCAATGAGTAATAACACATTACAGTTGGTTGATCTGTCTTTTCAGACTAACGGGGAGCAAATCTTTTATTTTGTCTATTAGAGGAGAACAGGGTATATTAAGAGAATGATTTCCTCAGATCTTATGACGTACACTTTAATTCTCGCTCTCACTGCTTTTCCAAAATGTGCTTCTCTCTGTATCCATCTCTCCTCCTCCTCCTCCTCACAGTTAGGGAGGTCAGAGGAGTGAGACAGAGTGACTGATTAGTAGCTGTCTACAAACATAACATTCTCCGGCTCGTCTTGGGTTACCTTTTCCCACGGCTGAAACACGATAGACTGGTGGTTGCGCTCTACTGTGTTTTCAACGCCTGCACTTGGGAGATTCCTTCATCAGCCACTACCCCCTGTACCACACACACACACACACACACACACACACACACACACACACCCCTACTTTCCCTAGTACTTGAACTGCCATTGCAGTGAGGTCATTCCTTGGAGAACAAGGGAGTGGGGTTGAGAATGAATCCCCTAACAAGCAGAGAATATCTTATAAAAACTCAACCACTTCCTCAAGATGGAAAACACTTTGATGATAAATCTTCCGTTCTTCACCAACATTTGGGATGTTGTTATTCTAGAATTCCTTTCTTTTATTCTACCATTTCTCTTCCAGAATCCCGTTTCCTTGCCTTCTCTGCAGTGCATCCCATCAAAATCTCATCTCAATTATTCTGATTCATTTTATTGTCCCCTCTTATGTAGGCCTGTTCTCTCTCAGGGAGATGGCTTTCATTTATTTGAACAGTTCTTGATCTCAACTGTCTCGTCAACGTGCTGTGAGCCATCCCAGTACGGGGTCCCTAATCAAAACCCAGCCAGCTCTTCACAGGAAAGAGAGAACATAACCGCTACCCTCAGCTCAGTTAGACCACCAGACACACACACACACTCAGCGCCAAATGATCTGGTGGAAATTATAATATATAATAAAATATAATTCAACTATAATCAATAGTCTTTGATATCAGTATCAGAGGTTGGTCCTCCAATCAACTAGGCTACGTTCCCAGCTGTCAAATAATCCGGTGTGGGTAGAAGTTAAATGATCATTGATTATCAGTCAAAGTTTAATCAGGTATAGGCGAAGTTAAAAAGTAGGCCTCCCTCTATGCAGACCTCATTGCTGTGCCATAGCCACGTTGCAGGCTAGGTTATATTGTCTATTTTTCTGTGGCTCCAGAACTAGCAACAAATTACATATTTTACATTCTGACCTTGTCCTTGGCATAGTCTGTCTCATTGCATCTAGCTAGTGTTCCATGCATGTGTGAGTCACGATGGTCCGAGTGCAGTGGTATGAAGTGGACATTCTGCATGTATTTGGGTGAACGTCCCATATAAAATAGCCTAAATATTTGATGCACCAAGAAATAAACAGTCACAGACACTACCAAAGTGGAGTAAAGCGAACGCTGGCCCTGCCAACACAGCACAAAAGAATAGGCCTAGTCTTTTGAAATCCCCAGTGCTCCTTCCTAACAGGGCATTCAATTCACCAAGTACATACAAATCCATTTGAGATTCACTGTACAAGTACATCCCCCAAAATAGTTTTATTCAAATGTGGTTTTGGGCTCAGTGTGTGAGTTGACACTGAGGCCTTTGTTTTCCCCTGATTAGATGTTCAGCATCCCCGCTCTAACTATGCACCCTCTGAGGCAGGAGAGGTTGTGGTGTGTGTGTGGTTTCCCTTGAACCTCCCATGTATAAATCAAGCTATTCTAATCAAGCTATTCTCTCTAGCAAATGGTGCAGTCATTGCCCATCCTATAGCATATAGCTGCTCCCAAATTGTTGTTTCAGTACGTGTACGTGTGTGTGTCTGTTCCTGAAAGAGTGCGTTCACTATCATGTCCCCTGTCCTTTTGGAATCCCCCAGGCCTGTCAGAGGCCATCAGTATGGAATGCAACCTATTGGAGTGAAGCTCATCAGTGTAAAAAACCCTACCACACCTCAGCCCTGCCTTTGGCGTCGGCTAATGGGAATCCTAATGAAAAATACAAATCATTATGTCTTTCAGCTAGAGCCAACCTCTACCACACCTCAACCCGGTAGAATGTCTCTCAGCTAGAGCCAACCTCTACCACACCTCAACCCGGTAGAATGTCTCTCAGCTAGAGCCAACCTCTACCACACCTCAACCCGGTAGAATGTCTCTCAGCTAGAGCCAGCCTCTACCACACCTCAACCCGGTAGAATGTCTCTCAGCTAGAGCCAACCTCTACCACACCTCAACCCGGTAGAATGTCTCTCAGCTAGAGCCAACCTCTACCACACCTCAACCCGGTAGAATGTCTCTCAGCTAGAGCCAGCCTCTACCACACCTCAACCCGGTAGAATGTCTCTCAGCTAGAGCCAACCTCTACCACACCTCAACCCGGTAGAATGTCTCTCAGCTAGAGCCAGCCTAGCCTGTGTTATGCAGCGCCATCATCAACACTGATAAGGAGAATGACTGAAACTTCAAAACATTTTGCCTTTTTATCTATAGGCTTAATAAGTAGGGAACCTTCGGCTTCTTGCTCATAATTTACGTTTGCTCACGTGGAAATGGCTGGTTCACGTGGAAAGGCAAGATAACTATATCTGAATTTGTTTTATTCTTGTGAGGAGCCGTGCCGTGTGCTCAAAAAGAACTACAGTTGTTCAAATCATTTTCTGAAGTAAACAGTCAGTGCTTTCCTGCTGTGAGCCTCAAAAGCATTCAAGTCAGCGTTTGTTTGCAATACCAGTTATTCAACAAAAACAAAAATCTTTGTCTTTCCCTCTTCCCAAACTGAGGCGCTGCCTCGTCGTTCTCCTCAAGAGTACAGCTTGTCAATGTTAATGGCAGAGATGACTTCACGTCCTCTGTCTTTGAGGAGGAGTAATCTGGAGAGTGAGGCAGCAATTACCATTTACACTCTCTAGCCAGGTCTCATCTTTCACCAAATGCTAGGTTGCTGCAGGCAGGTTTTTTTTTAGTTTTGTGCCCTGTCATTATTTTCTTAATAGAGGGGTGCAAGACGAAGGAACACACACACACACACACACACACACACACACACACACACACACAAGGGTGTAGTCTGTGGTGTCTGTCGCTCTAACATCTCTTCTCTTTTCTCTCCTTTCCCCTCTTTTGTTTTGCAGATGAAGAGAAAGTTGGACCATGGCCCAGAGGTCCGATCTTTCCCTTCAGGAAAAAAGCCCTGCAAAGGCTCAGAGTATCCAAGGTAAAGACCCCCCCCCCCCCCCCTTCCCAGGTCCCTATCCATTTATCCAGTATCCAAGGTAGCGAACCAGCCCCCTGTTCCCACCTTCCTACCAGTTATCCAATAGATTCAGCCTTCCTACTCTGTAGATCAGCAATGCAAATGGTAAAGAAACCCTGAACCATTTCTGTTGTATCACAGACAGGATCCAACAGGCAGCCCCAGTTGTCCCTATAAGTCTGAATATTATATGGTTATTCACACTAAGACACATGATCCTCATAAGAAGTGCTCACCGCACCATGTTCTTTGCCCATTAAAGTGTACATCATGCCTTCCTGAGGATCCTGACTAAGCACTGCTGCCTCACTCACTGGCAGCACTGTGCTTGTAATTGCCACACGTTGGTCTAGCTCTCAATCCCATTAAAAGTAAATCCATTATGAAACAGACCTCACTCTCTTACCCCATACTCCTGTCGCTAAGCAGAATGGTGTGAGGAACTGCTGAATGGTGGGTTTGGCGTTTCGCTAGTACCGAATGAGCGCACGCCTCGTGGCTGCTTTTTGAGAGGGGTTGACATTGAACTTAATTATTTGGAACTATGTGGCCTTTGAAGTCTCAGGGCGAGAGGTGCACATTGATAGAAATCCCCCTAAAATTCACATTCCAGAATTTATCTGCCCATCAATAGTGGTTATCTTTCCCCTAAATCAAGTCTAGAATTAGGGGAAAATCTATTTAAGTGAATAAAAACAAGTTAGTAACCCAAACCAAATTGAATCAAGCTTGTGTACAGAAGCATTTAGGTGATTATTGATCATGGAAACATGGGAATAAACAGCTGGTTTCAGTTCCAGAGAAACGCTCTAGAAGAGAGCATGTTCATATATATTAATGCACAGCGTACCGAAACATTTTGCAACGGAAAATGAAATTGAACGTTTCTTATTGGTCAAGTTCAGGTAGTACCTTCCCGTTTCGTGCCTAGTGAATACGACAATGGTTTCAGTTCAATTCCAGAGAAACCGTTGCATTGAGAAGAGAGCAGGGTGTATTCACTAGGAACCAAACCGAACCAAACGAAATCAAACCGGTAGGAACCTACCTGAATTTGCCCAATAGATCACTCTGTTTTCGTTGCGAAACGTTTTGCTACAGTGTGCACTAATGCTACAGTGTGCACTAATGAATACACCCCAGCTATAGAAACCTAGTTAGTAGTCTCTTCTTGGCGGAGACCCAGGGCTGTTTCTCTCATTAATATCTGTTGTTTGCCTCTCCCTCCACTCAGCTTTTGTAGTCTTTCTCACCACTATTGTAATTAGTGAGCGGAGGGGAAGATATCTGCAGAAGCTGCTACTGCTGCAGCACCTGCCTGCACTTTTCCCGCATTTGAAACAACTAATAATGTCCTCAGTGTTCCTCGTTATCAATATAACCCTTATGCTTCTCCTCAGAAGAACGTGATAAATAGTTTTCTCAAGTATTTTTCTTGTGAAAATATTATTTTTCCTCACATTCTCCCTCCCTCCTATCTCTCCGTATTTCTCTCCACAGTGCTACAGGGCTGGTCCCCTACCCAGCCACCCCCACCACGTTTGGGCACATCAGGACAGCTAACGGTCAGGGGCAGCAGAGGCGGCGCATCACCTCCATCGCTCCTCCCACAGGTCTCGAGGAATGGCTCCGGACGTTTCAGGTGAGTTAGTTCCCAGTTAGCTCCTCCAATGTCCCAGTCACGTCCCCTCTCCCCCTCCTAGAGCTCGTTTCAGGTGAGTTTGCGCCTACCCCCTAGCTACCTGTTCCTAATTGGCCTCTGCTACCTGAGGAGCGATGGTTCTAACTAAATAGTTAAGTATGTTGTTCCTAGTTCCTCCCAACTCCTTTGTCACATCCATCCTCCCCCCTCCCCCTCCCTTGAGTGTCTATCCTTCGAGCCATCGAGCAAGAGCTCATCAGAAAGCAGATGTTGCGCCCAATCAATGTTTCCTCAAGTCTTGAAGATAATTGCTGCCTTGACGTTTTGGCCCTCACATTACCATACGCACTGTAGCATGGGATTGGAATTAGCTTACCTGTTTAGACTACAGGCTCCAATATCGTATTTGTGCAGCCAACGCCTGATGTATACTATGTCAACAGTTGAACAGATGTGATCTTTGTTCAGGTAATCCTTTCAAAGCCACCAGTATTTTAGGCCAGTCAGCTTCTTATGACATATTTGCGTATGGCGAGTTCTAACGTCACAGCCAATAGTCAATAGAGGAATCCTTTTGTCTTTCAGGTACTTCATATAGTGCCTCATGTCAAAAGGAGTGTATTATATAGGGAATAGGGTGCCATTTCAGCCACAGCCGTAATGTTCCTTCTTTGATTTGAGTTGAGGCAACTCCATAATGATGACTAGAGCTCAAACATCTGGGATTTGTTTCCAGCGATTTGTTAATATCAAATTAATTGTCAGTAAGCACCCCTTTCATCCCAAATGGAAACAATTAAGAGTTTATTTGACTTGGCAACCAGCTCGCTGGAGTGCTGCTGCCTTCTTTGCAAATGTTTTTTTTACAACAGGCTTTGTGCCTGTATTGACTTTGCCAGTCATAAACGCCAAATCTTTGGGGAAATAAACAGGAAAGAAATTAGATCTTTTGCTCGGTCTTCAAAGCGTTCTCTGAAGAGAATGGCTGCATAACCGCAACAAAATGTCAAGAACTCTTTTTATTAGAAAAATGGCAATTAGGTAATAACATTCCAGTCGCCAAGATCTTTCTGCTAATATTGCCCTGATTTAACTTTCTTCACATCTCTGTTTGGTGAATAAACGAGTTTACTGGTATTGTGAAACGTAATCCCATCCTGTACCGATTTACAGCCACGGAAGCCAGACTGCAAAGTAGAGATGCCAAGTTCATTAACAATTGGAGGTCTGTGAGTCTTACTTCAGGATGTAAAGATTCCGCAACTATGTAGAACAATGTTGCGTTCAAGGTCGGGCGTTTCCGCTCTGTTTACTTCTGCAACAACTACCTCTAGGATCAGTACCTGCCTCTCCGGGACATGGCACGGCATCAAACAATTCAACCAGACGTCCGTTGTCAAATATTGTAACATTGCATTTATCGCTGAATCGTTTCCCAAAATCCACTAATCCTGTGAAATAGCTGTTCCATGTGAGAACTCGCCCTCTGTGTGTGTGGGTTTTTGACAGAGAGCGAGCGAGGGTTGAGAGTGAGAAAGAGAGTGTGTGAGAGAGAGACTATTGACGTAGTCCACCTGCTATGGCCCCATTTGCCTTTCATCTGACAGCCCATATTAGACGCACCTAAACCCTCAAACATGCATTCACATGCATTCTGTACATTCTCTTTCCAGTCCTGGCCTGCTCAGCCCCTTTGTGGATCCTGTCATGTGAGAGATAAAGAGGATTCATTTAATTAAAGAGGTTTTAAGATGAGTGGAGCCAGAAAATAATGCTATCCAAATGTCATAACACTGGAAAGAGACATGGTGTTATGTCGTCTGGTTGAAAACCAGGGTTGACTGACCCATGCTTTGCAAGTAGTGCCGTCATTCGGTGCATTACGCTGCCAAGCATAAGCAAGCTTTGTAGCTAGCGGTGTTTCTACCCAGAAAGCTCATTCCCAGAGGCATAACCAATGGGTGTTAAGTCGCCTGCCAACCAGCGCTGAGTAACCACTCAGTAATCCAACCCTTTGCCTTGGATCGAGGAGGATTGCTTTGAACCCTACCCCGATTACCTTCCTACCTACCAGCACAGCCAGCTCCTCCGGCGGCGTCAGTCTAACTGCCAAATTACAGATGCTTTACATGCCCAATGCTTTCCATCCCCCCCATCCCTCCCTCCATCCTTCTCTCTTCTAATCACTGTGTTACATTTGAGCGCTCTCCCAAAGGAAAACAACGTTGGCCCCAGCATCTAGCCACTTGGTCTAGTTACGACTACAGCCCCAGCTAGCTAAGCTCCACAGTGAGGCTTTGAGCTTCAGGCTGTGAGCAGTGCTGAATATTCAGCCAGGAGGAATCCCACATGGAAAGAAGCTAGGTAATAACAGTGCTGATGAAGGCCAGGAGCTTGATGTGAAAATGGCCTTTTAATGTGCCTGTTGCCCGCGTAGTTAAAGGAGAGGTGCCTCGGGCTAACTGGCTTCTGTTGAGGGAATTTGTTATCACTTACATACACTACATGACCAGAAGTATGTGGACACCTGCTGGTCGAACATTAATATGGAGTTTGTCCCCCCTTTGCTGCTAAAACAGCCTCCACTCTTGTGGGAAGGCTTTCCACTAGATGTTGGAACATTGCTGCGGGGACTTAATATATACTTGCTTCCATTCAGCCACGAGCATTAGTGAGGTCGGCCACTGATGTTGGGCGATTAGGCCTGGCTCGCAGTCGGCGTTCCAATTCATCCCAAAGGTGTTGGATGGGGATTTTATACACCGGTCAGCAACGGGTGTGGCTGAAATAGCCGAATCCACTAATTTGAAGGGGTGTCCATATACTTTTGTATATATAGTGTATGCATTGGCACACAAATATACACACTTCTACACAAATGCAAATTGGCTTCAAACACCTTTACATTCCACCACACTTGCAGCAAGCACCCATGTATGCCAATACAACGCAACACACACTAAAAACTACTTTTACAATCAAGTACCATCAACACAACCAACACAACCAACAGTCCCCTCCATGTGCATTACTCCTCTCCTGACCGGTCTCTCTTCCCCTCCCGTGTGTTCCACAGCTGGAGTACTGTACCATCTAACCCTGCCCCCCCCCCCCCCCCCCCCTCCTGTGTGTTTCAGAGCTGGAGTGGCCCAGAGAAGCTGCTGGCGCTGGATGAGTTGATCGACCGCTGTGAGCCCACGCAGGTCAAACACATGATGCAGGTCATTGAGCCGCAGTTCCAACGCGACTTTATCTCCCTGCTGCCCAAAGAGGTGACAATCCCTTTATAGCTCTTTCTAATCCCTTCCTCCTCCCTCTCGTTCTAAACCTTCTCTACCAACTCGCCTTTCTACCTCCTGGAGAAGTGAGAACCAAGCCTCTTTAACTCCCCCAACTGCACTCTCCCATCTCCCCATCCATCCATCCATCCATCCATCCATCCATCCATCCCTGTTGCCCAAAGCGGTGAGAACCGAAAGCTTCCTTAGCTACCTTCTTGTCCCCACTTAACTCATTGGAAATAGTCTTAATGGCACCTTTTGGTGGGTGTGTCACCCTTCGCTCAAACTGAGAACTAATAACACCAGGCCAATGTGTCTCTGTTCAGGACTCTATGGTCTCAGGGGATCTGTCTTAAACAGCGTTCAGCCTCCTGTCACTCCTCAGAGACGTCCTGTGACTGTCTCTGTCTGGCGCCTGCCTCCTGTCTGTCAGGTGTGAGAGAGGTCTGGACGGAGAGGGGGGTAGACGGAGGGGAAGAGAGAAGGGCAAGGTGTGGAATCGTCTGTAATGGGAGGGGGAGGGGGGGAGTAAGTGAAGGGAGGTGTGTGGGAAGTAGTCTGTAATGTTCCATAATGATCTAAATAGCCTCCCCTCAGCTTGCTCTAGTTGCCAAGCCCCTTCAGACTGTTTGTTTAGCAGTTGAAGCATGAGGCAGCCTGTCCTGCTCCCGTTCACTGTTACCTTGTTTCTTCCCATTTAGCTGTCTCTGATTTGCTTCCCATTTGTTCTCTCTCTCTCTCTCTCTCTCTTTGTCTCTGTCTCTGTCTCTCTCTCCACTCTCTCTCTCTCTCTCTCCACTCTCTCTCTCTCTCTCTCTCTCACCCTGGGGCAGTTCAGTGATATCCACATATAGATGAGACTGAGACATGACTCTGTAGTAACACGAAGACACCCTGTAGTACCTTGTTATGTAACCAACTCAATACACAATCAGTTGTTCTGCTGTGCTGCATCGATGAAACACTTTCAAACGCTCTCGATCGTCAATAATGGCTTGGGCATTAGGTATGTTTGAATTGTAGAACATTGGTATTGAATTGTAGAGAATTTGTATTTTGGGAGGTGTTGGGTTGGTGAACTAAACCCAGACAACCCACTCAACCACGGTAACGTTCTTACACAGTGAAATAACGTTCTCTCCTCCTTTCTCTCTCCCCCTCCGTCCCTCCATCCTTCCTCTCCTCCGTCAGTTGGCCCTGTACGTGCTGTCGTTCCTTGAGCCCAAGGACCTGCTGCAGGCCGCTCAGACGTGTCGTTACTGGAGGATCCTGGCTGAAGACAACCTCCTCTGGAGGGAGAAGTGCCGGGAGGAGGGTCAGTCTAGACGCACTTAGCCAATAGGAATCACTGAAGCAGTTTAAAACCATGATTGACACTAGCATTGGCCAATATGATCAATCTTGACCAATGGTCAGACTAGATTGATAACGGCATGAGCAAACGGTAGATATTCTGCTTTCTCACGCAGTCTCGGACTGACACTACCCCTCTCCTCTCATCTCTTCACAAGCAGGCATTGATGAGCCTCTATCCTTCAAGAAGAGGAAAATCACCAAGCCAGGCTTCAGCCGCAGCCCCTGGAAATGTGCCTACATCAGGCAGCATAGGATAGATACCAACTGGAGGAGAGGAGACCTCCGATCACCCAAGGTAGACATTTTGCCTTTGCTTATTCTCAACATTTTATATCACCTAGATTATTTTATTTGCGTTCATCATTAGCACACAGTATTTATTTCTGCTGCAGTTTCTTCGTTTCATATTAGATGGTTTCATTATGTTTTAAAACACTCCCTTGAAATGGATTTTATATAAAGAGGCTTTAAATTAGAACAGGTGTCCAAGTCGATAAGGCTCTTATATGTTGGGTTTTATTGAAAGCCATAGGTGGGTCTGTTCTCAAACTCTCCTAGAGAAGATTTTGGTAATGGCATTTCTTATAGATATGTCATTTTTTAATGGCAGTTCTTCTCTAGGGCACAACATGACCTCAATTCTACCTCTACATCAAACTGCTGCTAATGTTCTGAGCCCCATCTGTTTCTTGCCCGTTTCGCCCTATCTCCTGTTTTAAGAGTTTAAATTGAGCTAGCAAGGGAGAGTGATCTTCCTAATATGCCTCATATGGCTTATTTTGCTAATTTCAAAACGCCCACAGGTCCTTTAGTGACTGTAGAAGGAATGGCTGATGTAACCGTGGTTACCGCACTTGCTCTTCACACTCCCCTGTGTCCGTCTTTAACGTTCTCTGTTATTCGCCTATTCGGCAGTTCTGTGACCCTGTATCTGTCAGCTGAGCTTACACACAAACAAACAAAGTATTTTTGAACGGGGTTCTCCCTACACCTGCAAAGCGCCGTCGTGACATTTACCTCAAGTCCCCTCAGTCTTTGTCTGGAGAAATACAGCCTTGTCATTGTTCCTGTTTGGTTCTTGACATTTTCTCCCCTCCCTCCCTCCCTCCCTCCCTCCCTCCCTCCCTCCCTCCCTCCCTCTTCCCTTTCTCTCCCCTCCCTCCCTCCCCTCCCTCCCTCCCTCTTCCCTTTCTCTCCCCTCCCCCTCCCTCCCTCCCTCCCTCCCTCCCTCCCTCCCTCCCTCCCTCCCCTCCCTCCCTCTTCCCTTTCTCTCCCCTCCCTCCCTCCCTCCCTCCCTCCCTCCCTCCCTCCCTCCCTCCCTCCCTCCCTCCCTCTTCCCTTTCTCTCCCCTCCCTCCCTCCCTCCCTCCCTCCCTCCCTCCCTCCCTCCATCCCTCCCTCCCTCCCTCTTCCCTTTCTCTCCCTCCCTCTTCCCTTTCTCTCCCTCCCTCTCATCCCTATCTCTCTCTCTCTATCCTTCCCTCCCTCCTCTCATCTCCTCTCCATCCTCTCTAGGTGCTTAAGGGTCATGACGACCATGTCATCACCTGCCTCCAGTTCTGCGGTAATCGCATCGTCAGCGGCTCTGATGACAACTCGCTCAAGGTCTGGTCGGCTGTCACAGGAAAGGTAAGAGACAGTCACTCGTCCCTTGCTCTCCAACCCCCATATTCAAACTAGTCCAAACCTTTTTGACTACAGATGTAGGAAATCGCCATTTTCTCAGTTGTAGACTGGTACGGTACTGGTATGTAGATTGGTATGGTTCTGGAGATAATGAATAGGAGGTTAAAAAGTGATGAAGTGTCTCTTTTAAGCCTTATTTTCAAGTCTCATTGGTTGTTCCATCTCATCTCAGTGTTCTGTTGTATGCGTACACATAGTAATGGAGGGTGATTGCTCCATCCTATTCTGAAGGAACTCATTACAGCTCATGTGTTTTTCATTTCCGTCTCATTGATCAGTAATGAAGCATGTTAGCAGGAAGTCAATCCACATGTTATGGCAGTTCTTTAAATTACTTAGCGTGTCTTCACTCAATACCTCAGATTCATGATCAAGGGTTTGTATTGATTTTTGCATTTAAGGTTTAGTCAATGTATAGGCTACAGTATACTGCATACTGTAGATTTGACACCAACGATAGCTCTACCTCAGATACCGCTTGATGCCGATTCACCCCCAATATCTCCCCGAGGCCCTGACAAGATTGCAATTGATTAGTGACATCATTCAACATTGGCACGTAGCACCACCTGTCCTGCAATACTGCAGCATATTGTCTGGAATCCATTTTGTTCTCTCTTCCTCCTCTTGCGTTTAGGGTCTGTCCCAAATGGCACCCTATTCTCTATGTAGTGCACTACTTTTGACCAGACACCTATGGGCCCTGGTCAAAAGTAGTGCGCTACATAGGGGATAGGGTGCCATTTGAGATTCAGCCTTAGCCATTTTGCAGAGAGCCAGTGAAAGGTCTGTGTCCTCAGACAGGCGAGGGAGGTGCTGTTAGTATTCATGGCTGGGACTGATGCGATGACACGGATCTTGGATTGCTGGTTTATATGGTCTGCTAAAATGGGGGCGTTGGTGTGGGCCTCGCTGAGAGAGGGAGAGCAAGAGGAATGGAGGTAGGGAGGCTCAGGGAGTATTGTCAATCACACCCCGTCGTCTCCCCTCTTCCCTGGTCTTCGCGGACTCCATTTTCACTGGAGCTCTTAATGAAAATTCTCCTTTAGGACACAGCTCTCTCGCTTTTTGAAGTGCAAGGAGAACAGCTAAGGGATGGAACAAAAAGGTTCAGATGTTGTTCTATCCTTGCATACAAAATTACAAAGACACTCTGAGTGTGTCAGTGGTGCCCAGGTGCATGGAACACTGAAACACTGGAAAAACAAAGCTGCACCGTGTCTCATAGCAGAAAAGCTTCCTCTCTTTGATTGCATTGGGCACTCAGCCAAGCGGTGATTATACAGTGTTGATCTCTCACAGCGTTGTGCTGATGTGAACAGATCAGTACCAAGGTCATCTGATAGGGAAGCCATGCGGATTGTCTCTCTTCCCACCACCCCCATTGGGGTAATGTCCATCCGGATGACATGTAACTCTCAGGTTAATGCTGCAGTGACTCACTCACACCATGCTGTGAAGACAGAGGTCAGAACAGGTGTGTGCGTGATTAGTCATCATCACCCAGCAGGCTGGCCCGAGGCCTTTCTGTTCCCATGTCCCACGATGCACCTGGGCTGGATCCACAAACACCGCCCCCACCCCTCCCTCCTGTCGTGTGGTTGGTTGCCTTTTATGCCCCAACCAGCTGGTCCTGTGCCAGATTTGTTCATTTCGTTATGACAGTCGAGGTCAGAGCTGTAGAAAGGTGAGCTGATCCTAAATCAGTTTGGAAGAATGTAGAGACCACCTTCGCCTGGCCAGATTAGTTAGTTTGCTCTTGATGGTTGAGGTCAAGACTGAAGCAGTGTGAGCTGATCCTAGATCAGTTGTTAAAACCCCTGGTGGATAGATCTCATCTTCGTTGCAAGCTGAGAAAAATCTTCCAGATGTCCTTTATATTCTCTCTCTCTCTCTCTCTCTCTAAATTATTCTCTCTCTCTAAATTATTCTCTCTGCAGTAGTTAGTCTCTCCATTGGATGCCTGCCCTTATATTCACCATCAATCATCTCTCGCCATGACAAGCCAGGCTTGTTTTGACCTGACCCCTGGATGCCCCCGGCCAGGGAATAGTCCAGTGCTGCTACTGCATTCTTCTTCCTGATCCTGCTTCTGTTTCCACAGCAAATAGCCAAAATGGCTGCCAGACAGGACTGTAGCTTCTCTCTTTTTCTCTCTCCTCTTTCTCTTTCTGTCTTTCTTTACAGAGTGTCTGACCTTTGGTTGTGGGTGTTCATATTTGTTCGGGCCAGCATGCGTGTGTGTGTGTTCGTGTGTGTGTGTTCGTGTGTTTGCGTGTGTGTGTGTGTGTTTGTGTGTTTGCATGTGTGTGTGTGTGTGCGTGTGTGTGTGTGTGCGTGTGTGCGTGTGTGTGTGTGTTCGTGTGTGTGTGTGTGTTTGTGTGTGTGTTTGTGTGTGTGTTTGTGTGTGTGTTTGTGTGTGTGTTCGTGTGTTTGCGTGTGTGTGTGTGTGTGTTCGTGTGTTTGCGTGCGTGTGTGTGTGTGTTTGCGTGTGTGTGTGTTCGTGTGTTTGCGTGCGTGTGTGTGTGTTTGCGTGTGCGTGCGCGTGTGTGTGTGTGTTCGTGTGTTTGTGTGTGTGTTCGCTCGTGTGTTTCCTCTCCTTCTATCTTGGCGTTCCACTCCAAGTCCCAGCTTAAGTGGTGTAAACCTCCAGCCTCACAAGAGCTCAGGGAAGCCTATTCCCACCCAGCTTTCAGCAGCTAACACCCAGACTAAGGACTTCTTCACCACTGGATCGATAGGAGATAGAGAGAAACCCACGTTTGAAAATTGACCTTGAAAGACATGCATTACAGTCTCCAAATAAGTTTTCGCTCTGAAGTATTTTTTCTTTTCTTTTTTTACTGGGATATTACAGAGAGAAAATGTTGACTCCCTCTTTAGACTAGCCTTCATGTCCGTCTGAAGCCTCTATCTCCAGTCTCCACACATCTCCTATTTACTGTATTTTTTAGTTCTGTTGTCCTTCATCTGCGGCCCACAAGGTTTCGGTCGGACGCTCTCTCTGTTTGGTTTGGGGACGTTTTTACTTTGAAAAAGATAAGCTGGCACAGACAGGAATGTCACAACCGGAGTGCTTTGAATTCCTCCGTCCCAAACAGAATGTGCTATCTGAATATGGCTTCATCATCCCAGCAACTGGATTCAGTGATTAGACCAAGCATGTGTCCAAATATAGATATTAGGTATATAGTTCACTACTTTTGACCAGGGCCCATAGCAGCGAGGGTTCTGTCCCTGACCGGTAGAGACGGAGTAGTCAAGTGAATAAAATGTTATTCTAAACATGTTCTAATGTACAGAACAAACTCAGTGTAAAGCTTAATGTTTATAACTAATGTTATGAACCTCTATCCCTTTTATGGCATGTTCAGTCCCCGAGTTGCATTTTTCAAATAGCACCTGGCATTGATACGTCACTTGGAACAAAATGGAACAAGACACGTGTTTGGTGTTGTAATGTCTCCATAGATTTTCCCTGTTAGGCATGGCTCTCATGTACAACGTATCCCTTCCAACAACATTTACCATTTCATTTCCATCATACGTCATATCAGAATTTCTTCAGATCAGATAATGGCTCTTCCACTGTAGTGGAATTTAGCCTTTCATGTCGCCAATGAAAGATTCCATCATTATCTAAGACTAGGATTGGTATTCTTGTCCATTAGATACCAGAGGGTTTTCTCTCTCACTCTGTCAGTACTATGATACAGTATGGGAGTGAATCAAGACACCCCGCTGTGAGCAATCAAGACATGATTGCACCAGCAGATTACTCTACAAACGCTTTCTTGACTTATCTCCTTGACAGACTGGTCTGCATCCCAAATGAAACTCTATGCTCTTTTATAGTGCACTGCTTTTGACCAGGGCCCAAAGGGTATAGGGTGCCATTTGGGAAGCAACAACCTGGATTTCCGCATTGCTCAGCGGTTAAGTAAGATAACAGGAAGAAATTGGAGTCCTGTTAAAACCGTTGCTTTGAGACTGAAGAAGAGGAGGCTAGAAACCAGAATGCCGTGAAATGATGGTCTGGGCTTAGAGGGAGAGCATCTTCGGTTTGGCTTCGTTGTTGAGGCGAATTTTTTTACATATTTGCATTTAGCTTGCAACAGCCCCAGACTTTAAATTGACCGTAAGTTTTCCTCAGAGTCTGTGTGTCTTCAGTAGCCTAGCGACCAGATGTGTCGTGGAATATGGTGCTGGCTGCTGAGTCCATCCATCTGAGGCATGCACCTTTGTCTTTGCTGTCCTTCGCTTTCAATGAGAGCTGTCATGGTTCGATCTACACACACAGTACACGCGCCCTCTGTGGTGAGGCACCCAGTGCTTCAAAAGGCTGGCTGTCTGCGCACTAGAGCAGTGAAAGTCCTTGTGCCCGTCAACAAACAACTCAGCTGCCTGTCACACACACACACACTCCGCTGCCTGTCAGGCTGATCTAAAATGGTAGACAGACAGACAGCCTGGCAGCCAGGCAGATTCCCACTATCACAGAGAGGAAAGGCATCTTCTGTTATGCCAGATGCTACACACACACACACACACTCTCACTCGCAAGCTGTGTACACACACACACACACTCACTTGCTAGCTGTGTATTCCTGGTTCACCTTCACCTCCGTTAATAACATGGGAAGCTCCAGACATTTCAGATTACTTATTGAGTGAATGCCCCATAATGAGGACATTGATCTCATTGTATATGAGAACGGAATGTATTGAGGAACTAAAGCAACACATTTTATGTTTATTTGATTGAAATCTGAATTGATTGTTCAGGTTGGGTCATTTCTCATCTTTGTAGACAGTATGTTTTGACGATGTTATTATGTTCACACTAATCGGCGTATCCGGACCTGGCAAGTCACCACTAGCTAGGTGTGGAATCACAGCTGAGAGCGTGACTAACATGGATCAACACCAGGTCTCTGTGTGTGAGTGAGTGACACATGGTTAATCACCGGGTCTGTGTTGACCGTCAAACTTCTGTGAGGCTGTTTCGTCAAATCAGAAGACCCAGGAATGCATGCAGAAGTCTTACCACGGTTTGGTTTACACCCTTCTCCTGTGTGTCACGAGCCCATTTGCACAGTGCTGGGAAAACCCTTGTTCTCTCGCTTTATTCACTATATCTCTCCCTCGTTGTCCTTGAAAGGCCCTCTCTCTTTTTCACGTTTTCCCTCCCTCTACTGCTCCCTCCCCTCCCTCCCTCTACTGCTCCCTCCCCTCCCTCCCTCTACTGCTCCATCCCTCCCCTCCCCTCCCCTCCCCTCCCTCCCTCCCTCCAGCTCTCTGTACCTCTGAGTCATAATGAGATCTTGGGTAACCACCAGGTCTGTTCAAATGCAGGCGGCAGTAAGAAAAACACCTCTACACAAACATTCCTCTCCAACATATAGGCTCCATACATCTGATATCTGCTGGACTGTGAGCTCTGTCTGATAAACACAATAAATCCTGCAGTCGGGCCGAGTCTGAGTTTTCCCGTTAATGATGTCTAGCCTAGGCTAAGTGGCCATCTTGTTATTTTGCACTGTGCAGCTTCCTCGTAGCCTTGTAATGGCCCCTGTTTGTTTATCACCCGGGGCTAGCTGGCTAGCTTTTTACCCTCAGTTAGCATCACCTGTCTGTTGGCATCCTCCCTTAGTCAGTCAGGCGACCTGGTTTTGTCAGTTTGTTTTGTTTTCTGAGGAAGTACTGGAAATTATGCATTCTGGGAAAGGTGATTATTTGACCCTTTTTTTCGGGATCCTGCTCATCCCTCTTGGGTTGGCAGATGGAACTGGCCTAGAGCCAGGCATTATGGGAAGGTCCATGGTCTCCGGGATCTTTGGGACGGCCCTACCTCATTGAAGTTGACATTTTAAATGTTTAAGTTAAGGGCTAAGATTAAGTTTAGGTAAGGCTTATGGTTAGGGTATGGTTTAGGGTAGGGATGTCCCAAGGATACCCAAATAGCACTGACCATTATGGGAAGGAGACAACTGTCACCAGTCGCAGTAGAAGAACAAAACGGTCTCCCCAATTGAAAGATAACTGTGGGGAGAAGCCATACAGGGTACTTTTCCAACATTTTAACACCAAGGATCAAAGGATTCAGGAAGGAAGTGTAATGCAAAAATAGAGCACTTGATCAAACCTTGGTGTCTTCAAACCAGCCCCTAACAGGCCCTCGAGGAGAATACCTAATCTTCCTCTGAGACGCAGAGAGCTGCGTCTTTCATATTTGTTCCACTCAGGCAGCCTCTTCATTTTCAGGGCTCCTTCTCTCCATGACTCTGAGTAGGCTGTAATCACCAGAGAGCAGCAGAGAAAGCTTCCACATTCTTGGAACCCGAATGTCAGAACCCTGGGCTTGTTTTGCCTGGGACTCCATCACCCTGGTAACACAGACTTGCTGTGTGTGGAGTACTTTGACTCAGTACTGTGTTTTGATATGATGCAGTCAAAAATATGTATACATATAATATTAATCTCATTCAATGCATTCATGGCCGTGACCTGGTGCTATGTTGACAATTGACTGAACAACATGCCAAAAAACTCAACTGTATTTTCCCCATTTATTTATTTGACCATTTACTGTAGTTGACAGTCATTGTTAGTTGGTGACCAACTCGCTCAGTCGTAGCAGAAGCTTTCATCTCATTATATCCTGCTGGAACCAGTACTAATTGCCTCCCCTACTCCTCTTCCCACAATATAACTGTCATGAAGCTGAGTGAATGGAGGACTGACTGCAGTTAAAGATGGATAAAATAAGGAACTTGTGACATTGGAGAGAAAAAGTTATGTCCCAAAGTTAATGAAGCATCCCTGTTTATCATAGGAGAGCGAGAGAGATTGATGAAGAGAATAACTGAGATGACGGGAGAGGGAGAGTGAAAGAGAGAGAGAGAGACTGCAGTTACACCCTACTCAATCACTCACTCACCGCAATAAAACCCCTGCCCCCGCTTTGCCTTGATACTCGCTGGCCACTCACCACTTTATCAGCTTCAGTCAGGAGGTCAAATGTTTTACACCCTCCGCGACACGTCCCGGCACGGATCATAACGCAGCCGGAACAGACTGGTTCCTCCGGTTTACCATCCCATCCCGCCATCCCAAAAAATCTAATTAAATTCGAGGGATAATTACATTTAGGGGAATAATAGCTATGGAGGCCGTCACAAATTGAATAGAATAGATTGGAAAGATTTCTATAATCGCTGTACTCTAATCAATAGCTAATCTAGCTGTGCAAATTAGGAAGAATGGGTCCCTTTTTTTTTATGGACGCTTTGTCGCCACCTGTACTCCAGACCTGGGTTCAAATACTATTCGAAATCTTTCAAATACTTAAAGCGGTTGCTCGAGTCAGCCTGGAGTGTCAGATGGGCGGGTTTTGCACTTTTCCGGCAATTGTGTTGGTTACATTGCACCAGGCAAGCTCAATAAAGCCCAGATAAAGTATCTGAAATGATTTCAAATAGTATTTGAATCCCAGGCCTGTCATCTTCTTGAAACAACAGAAGAAAATGGCTCCTAATTCAACTGTAGATAAGTATAAAGCAATTCCATAAGACTGAGGAAAGGTCAAAATGATACATTTTATCCCCCCTGTGCTGCAGTTACATATGGATTAACTTGACTAGAGGTTTTTAAGAAAGGTCAGATCAATTTAAATTCACTCTGTTGTCCCTTCTGAATGGAAGGTGAACTCGGCCTGATATCCTGTGTTTAACTGGACTTTCATCAAATCATCTGATGGTCAATCTCAAACTTGAGTAAAATTATTTTCTTAAATTTCTTCAAAACTCTAACGATATACATGGACTGAGGTGATGTTTTGGACTTATAAAAAGAGCAAAGTATGTCAAACTTGTTTGAAATTGATTTATATAATGACATGTTAAGGGGGGAAACGCACCATGTCCACCACCAATGTGTAGCACCCATCTATATGAATATCTCATAGTATGGAGTATGCATAATGAGCTGTGTTTTCTGTTTGTCATTGTGAAGTATCTAGACTGAGGTATCTTCTCTCTCTTGTCTCTCTGCAGTGTCTGAGGACATTGGTGGGCCACACGGGGGGCGTGTGGTCGTCCCAGATGAGGGACAACATCATCATCAGCGGCTCCACCGACCGGACGCTCAAGGTCTGGAACGCAGAGACGGGAGAATGTATCCACACCCTGTACGGGCATACCTCAACGGTGCGCTGTATGCACCTGCACGAGAAAAGGTATGTACTTAGTGACTGTTTACCAAACAGGTTCTTATCTTTCAAATGGACCAGTAGTTGTCCTATTCAAGTTGAGAAACATACTGTATTCTATTCCTGGTAACAAAAGCCCATGTATTATCGAGACAACCATACTGTACCAAGGCAATAAAAAACACATCGGTGGAACACCACAACATGAAAATGTGCCTCATGAAGTGTACTTAGGGTCTCATAGTGACTGAATAGAATCAAAGTGGCCGTCTAAGTGAGCCGCCTGTCACTCCTCTCTAGTGCTCTTTCTGCCTCGAGGCCGATGACATTTTGTGTAACATTTGATTACTCACTCAGCGGAAGTGAAGGGCCTCTGGCGGCTACAGGGCTTGACAGTGGAAGAACGGTGATTTCCATCTTTGTCAGTACTGATTGACGGAAGCCATTTTGTAACTTATGGAGTACGCATTCCAATGCTTTATGAACCAGTTTTTCCGCCTCTCTCCGTGCCGGAGGGTTTGCAGGTTATGTACGAACATGACTATGGCGACACTCAAAGGTGTTCTTTGTGTCTTTGCTGTTCTGCTTTCATCAACTGTCGTTATGGGAATGAGGGCTTAGAGGTCAACCTATTGAATTTACTATTTTTGCGAGATCAGTAACATGAGGGATACGTGTCTTCAAGGCCCATGGCAAAAACACCATTACGTTTGTCAAGATTCCCATCAAAGCTGTCACACCAACTGGGTCGTAAACATTGTCAATCGAAAAGCAATTGCCTTGATGTTTTGTTCAAGACCTATATGAATCCAATCTAACCAATAGATTTGAGCCGTTAACACTCAGTCTGTGTTCTCTTGTCCACCTATAACTGAAGCTATAGTGGACAGACATTGAGCCAGCCAGCTAGCTAGCTTTAGATTTGATAAAGTCCTGTGAGAATAGACTAGTGTTTCAATGTTAATGTCTCTTCAATCCGTCTCATCTTTCCTCTCCCAGGGTGGTGAGTGGTTCTCGTGACGCCACGCTGCGTGTGTGGGACATCGAGACGGGCCAGTGTTTACACGTCCTCATGGGCCACGTGGCGGCGGTTCGCTGCGTCCAGTATGACGGCCGCAGGGTGGTCAGCGGGGCCTACGACTTCATGGTCAAGGTCTGGGACCCCGAGACTGAGACCTGCCTCCACACGCTGCAGGGCCACACCAACAGAGTCTACTCACTACAGGTAGGGGTCTATGCACACGGGCTGTCTCATACCCACACAGTCATATTTATACACTCTCACTAACACTCCTACACACCACAGAGTCTATAATTGCATTAACATCTAAAGATTTGTATAGTGACTTCATAGTTCTATTGGGCTTTAAACCACGTATTTAAACTGTATATTTGAATTGTGCAAAATCAACCCCTTCTCATCAAAGAGCACCCCGCCCCAACTATTTTTACATTCCTTTTATGTCCTGCTATTTGGAAGCCCTCTAGGAATAAAACACGAAACGAATCAATTTAACACGCCTCAAATCAAATCCCTTTATATATCCACTGTACAGTTAGGTGTAAATGATAATAACAGTGTACAGCAGGGTCTCATCTGGTTCATACAGAGTCTAACGCTTCCATAAAACAAGAAAGATAGACCTCGGAGGACTTAGAGAACCGAAAGCCCTTTTAAAACAGTGTTGGCAGTTGGTGCGTTGAACCGCCATTCCACAATATGATAAGGTGGTTGCCATGTGAACCAAACTGTCTGGAAAAGAGCCACAACAAAATAGTCCCTCTGTGTGTTGTATCCAAGGCAGCAGAGCAGCAGAACGATGAGTTTTTCTCAACTCCTTTTCTTTCTACGTTGCAGTAACGTTATATAAACAGACAATTGGTGTGAGTCAGGGTCATACACACACACACACACACACACACACACACACACACAGAAGTAGTAGTGTTAAAAGGTTAATGGATTCCTCTGCCTCGTGTCCTCGAAGATGTCCCCTCCCTTCACGTCGCTCTCTAATAATACATCAATAATATGCCATTTTAGTATGGGGGGTCCCGGGGATCGAACCCACTACCCTGGCGTTACAAGCGCCATGCTCTACCAATTGAGCTACAGAGGACATCTCTCTGTGATGACAGAGCAGTTTAGAGCCACAGCCATCACCTTCAGAGAGAGAGGCTGCATCCCAAATGGCACCCTAGTCCCTTTGTAGTGCACTGCTTTGGACCAGGGTCAAAAGTAGTTCATCTATATAGGGAATAGGGTACCATTTGGGACCTATCCACAGCGAGAGAGAGAGAGATAGAGAACGGTTTACTGTTCAGATGGAAAGATGCCCTCCCCTCTATCCACTATATGTGACGCTGACTTTGAAAAAGCTGTACAAATCAATACAATTTATTAGATCTAATGAATTCGTGTGATATTATATGAATACTAATGAACTGATTTCATTATATCTAATAGAATATTATCTAGAAAAGCCTTATTTGACTCTGTTTCAATTGGATTCAATGGATTCATTCCTATGTAGATTCATTATTTTATACTAAATGTTATTGTAATATATAACTGGATCCTCCTTTTTCCTCCGTCGTTCGGTTTGCTCTTTGGGCTCTATCCCAGGGTACTCCAAAGCCTCTCTGATAACTGCTGATGTAAAAAGGGCTTTATGAGTGCATTTGATTGATTGATTCCAAACCATACTAGAATAGAAATGACTGGAATCCTATGGTGTCAAACTGAATTTGTCGTAACATGACTGGATCGTCCTTCCACCCCTCCAGTTTGATGGGATCCACGTGGTGAGTGGTAGCCTGGACACGTCTATCCGGGTGTGGGATGTGGAGACGGGTAACTGCATCCACACTCTGACAGGTCATCAGTCCCTCACCAGTGGCATGGAGCTCAAAGACAACATCCTGGTCTCGGGCAATGCCGACTCCACCGTCAAGATCTGGGACATCAAGACGGGACAGTGCCTGCAGACGTTGCAAGGTGAGTCTTAGTCCTTCCCACAGACAGGCACACATAGTGCCTGCAGACGTTGCAAGGCGAGTCTGTCGCTGGGTCGTTGGAACAGGGTTGTATTCATTAAGGAACACTGAAGTAAAACGCTTTGCAACGGAATGCGAAAACAGATGTTGCTCATTGGACAAGTTCAGGTAGTCCCTCCCTGTTTCAGCCCATTTTCTTTTGTTCGGTGGCTTGTAAAACAACCATGTCTGATTGCACTTTCTTGACTCTCAAAACAGCTTTACGTAGTATGGGGAGAAACTCCCTTCAACCACCACCATCTACCACAGACAACTCTGCTACCTCCTTTTATCTGTAAGGAAAATGTCTGGAATTGGCCAATTTTGGACCCCAGTGAAAGGCTGTTGCTCAGAGATATTCACTCAATGATGTGCTTGGCTGTGCATGGCCAAACGGAGCCAACACATTGTGGGCCAGCCAGCCACTCTCCAGATAGGGATCATTTCCCTGGCTCTGGATGTTTGTGGAACAGTTCCCTCTCAGCCATTACCACTAAGTACTGTTACCTTGAATGGGGAGAAATGGAGAATTCCTTACTGAGCATCTGCACTGTTTCTCCCCAAATGGCCTTATTAGTGAACTACAAACCCAACTATTCCCATGGAACTACAACTCACACGTGCCCCCTCCCCTTGGAACAAAGGGAATAGATATGGCCCTGTTTTAGGATGAGAGAGAAGAGGGGAGGATGTGAGAGGAGGGATGATGAAAGGATAGAAGGGTGGATGGGGGTGATACACTGCATATGGATGAGAGAGGAGGAGGGGGAGGAGGGGGGAGGGGGATGATGAAAGGGGGATGGGGTCCTGTCTTGTTGGGGAGCCTGGCCTGTGAGGGACATGACAAGGGGGCGTGACACTCTGCAAAGGGGGCATGGTGGGGGTGCAGGGATTATGTAGGTCATGTAATTGGGTCAATGCGCAATTTCTGCCATTCATTCATTAGGGCATTTAGATAAGACAATAGCCTAACAACAGGCAACTCACAGGCAGCCACAGATGAGGTACTTAAACTGAGAGGATAGGTAACGATGTAGCCAGCTGCTTTGTTGTGGAAATGATATGGGTGGGGGAGAGGGAGAGAGAGATGTGGGGGTTTGGCTGGGTACATTGTCAAATCTTTGTGAGAAAGGCACAGTGCAAAATGCCCAGCCCTTTGAACCCGCTAGAGACAGACGAAGGGAGAGGATAGGGGTTTACACTGCTGGCTGGCACTGGAGCTCTGTTCAGATGAGATATTTGTTGTTAGTTGTAAATGATTTTCCATTGGTAGGCTAATGAACACAATTCCTAGTGTACTTCATACAATGAATCATTTTGAATTGATAATGAGCACATTTCAATGTATTGTGTAGTTATCATATTTGACATTTCATCCTAATTAGTATTCACTAGTTAGAGTTTTGTGGAATAACTGCTAGAAGGTATTTAATGTTGCCAGTCACATCTTTGAAACTGTGATTCTGTGTTTGTTTTAATAGTGTAAATAGATCCAATGTGGGGTTTTATCTCCATATCCTTAGGGAATATTAGTCATTCCCACAGACAAACACACATACAGGAGCATCTCGTCAAAAGAGGAGGCAACAGCCGCAGACACCACAATCTGCACACCGAATGGGTGTTGCTGCCAGCTGCCACACTCACCACACACACACACACACCGCTACAGTGCCAGTCAGCAGCAGAGCCAATCAGCAGCTGTAGATGGTGACAGCTCTAAGCCCTGGGACTTCTCTCCTCTACTACCCCAGGCTTTTCCATGGCAGACGAGGCCAGGCCAAGGCAGGGTGTCTTATTCCCCTGCCTTAACACACTCCAGAAATAAGCAGTATAGTGTTTTACCATCTCTATTATGGCTAGTTTTCTGCCCAGTTTCAGAGCCAGGTTTTGGCTGTGTGTCTTTACGTTACTGTATGGCAACAGTTCACGTCACAGACGGTGGGCTGTGGAGGTCTTCAACCAATGATCTCACAACCGTGTCAGATTCTTTCGATCAAGCCTTTTCTCTTGATTGTTTTCCTTTTTTCCCCCTCACTCGTTGAATCCATCTTTCTGCCTCTCTCTACGTTCTTAAAGGGATATTACGGGATTTTGGCAACAAGGCCCTTTATCTACTTCCCCAGAGTCGGATGAACTCGTGGATACCATTTTTATGTCTCTGTGTCCAATATGAAGGAAGTTAGAGGTAGTTTCGCGACCCAGTGGTAACTAGTGTTAGCGCAATTGATGGAAGTCTATGGGTATATGCTAGCTGATACCCATAGACTTCCTAATCGCGCTAAAGCTAGTTAGCAACTTCCTTCAGAGACATGAACATGGTATCCATGAGTTCATCTCTCTGGGGAAGTAGATATTGCCCAAATCCCGAAGTATCCCTTTAAAGGTGAAAATGGAAACAAGCTATTTATCTCTTTCACACATTCACTCACTCTTCTCCTCCTCTTTCTCTCTCCCCCTCTCCACCACCAGGTCCCCACAAGCACCAGAGCGCCGTGACGTGCCTGCAGTTCAACAAGAACTTTGTCATCACCAGCTCGGACGACGGCACGGTGAAGCTGTGGGACCTGAAGACGGGCGAGTTCATTCGTAACCTGGTGACCCTGGAGAGCGGCGGCAGCGGTGGGGTGGTGTGGCGTATCCGGGCCTCCAACACCAAGCTGGTGTGTGCCGTGGGAAGCCGCAACGGCACCGAAGAGACAAAACTACTGGTGCTAGACTTTGACGTGGACATGAAGTGAGAGGAGAGGAGGGGAAATGGTCGAGAGAGGGGAAAGTGAGGAGAGGGGAGGAGGGAGATGGGGTAAAGGGGGATGAGGAGGAGATGGGTCATCATCGAGGGTGAAAGTGCCCTAAAACTCTTCACTCCCACGCTCGGAAACACCCCCGCCCCACCCTACCCTCAACACCACCACTACCACCGCCCCTCCCCCTCCATACCTGTCCCCTCCCCACGTCGGTGGCCGTTTCTGACAAAGCCACAGTCGCCCACCCCACCGGCCAGCCCCAGCATCCATACTTATTACCCCTCCCACCTTAAGGGGGTGGAGTCAGTATCCGAAGGGGTGGGGTGAAAATGGGTGTGGCTTGGAACAGGGGTGTGGCTCGCCGGCACCTCTGCAGTAGGCCGGGAGGAAGAGGAAGAAGAGGGGGAGGAACTGACTCGTCCACTAAAGGAGGAAGAGAAGAAAAACAGGAACTCTTGAAGAAATAACTCTGTGGCTATAGGGGCAGCTCCTTCACAACAAACAGAGACTTGTTCACTCAAGCCTGACACAAGCATTTGTTCAGATGTATAAAGATATATTATTTTTTATCCCCCACATAAAGCGCGAACCGACTATTTAATAGAAAAACAACACTGTATACAGTTACACAAGGCAAATTAAGTGAATTGGAATAAAGTTTTTATGAGAACACACAGGCACACAATATTAGCTAAGAAAGGAGGTTCTTGTCGTCAGGGAGAGAATGAGAGAAACCCCATGCCAAGAATCTGATTGGTCCCCAAACCAGGTATGAGCCTATAACATCAGGCCCTATATCCTGTTCTGTTTGTTCCATTCTTATTGTTCTTCAGTCTTTTAGTTCCAGGGTTTGATTTCTTCACAAAACACGTAGGAGCACACATACAACTGTGAATTTGCGTTCCTTTTGTAGCTATGTTCGTTCAATCAGTTCAAATAAAATTATTTTCGTTGTTTGTTTTGGTTGCCTATTGGCAACAAGTCCCAGTATTAACCTGTTCCACTCACTCCTTTTCTTTCGTTATTTCACCACGTTTTATTTTCTGTTTGGGTTGTTCTTTACATTTTTCTTTTCTTTATAGCTGAAGTCTGGAGATGTTAAGTCTCCAGATTTAGACATTATGCTGTCCTTTGTTTTTCAACGCGTCTGGCTGGGTTGGTTCTTCAATGCTGGTTCTTACGTGGGGGGGAAAGGTTGGGGTTCTCTTCTCGGAGCTCTTCGTGTGGAATAGTGTCCCCCCTCCCTCCCAGTACTGTTTTCCCAGTGGGTAAACTGTATTTATGCTGCTAGATAAAAAGGAAATAAAGATGGAACTTTTACTTGCTGTGACGTTTTAGTCCCAGACTAAATTCCAAAATTGACTCTTCTAATGTTTTAAACAGAGACGACACACAAAAGAGAGAGAGAAACATGACAATGAATAACAACCAAGGTTTTGTTTTTGCCACTGAAACTTGAGCCAAACATGCCTCAACGAGGCTGAGAGGAGAGTGTGTTGGACAAAGAAGGGTTTGCCTGCGTAGAGGAAATGATGGGATGTAACGTACGTGTGTTGTGTGTGTGATAAGTGTGTGTGCGCGTGTGTGCGCGTGTGTATGTTTTTGGGCAAATTGTTAACACATTCCTTGGGACAAAGCTCTTTCAGCCTGTTCTGTGGGGAACTGTCTAGATGCTGTGTGGACTGGCAAAGAAAAAAATAAAATAGCAAATGTTTTTTTTTTTTTTTTTTTTATGAGTATGAAAGAAAGAACTGTCCATTATCCATATGTGATTGTTGTTTCCATTCAAATGTTTGAAGCAACATTGATGACCGGGCACCAACTGACACAAAAGCAAACTGACAACAAATACAGTAGAAGGCAGGAGAGTCTTAGTGTTATGAATGGCATGTTACTTGTTACAGTCAAACTGTTCAGAGCTAGCTAGCTAGTTCTCTTAGCAGTTAGCAGTCTAATGGTTTGTGAATGGAAAACGTACCTACAGGCAACCTGGCTTCAAGTGAACAGAACAGAACATTATAGCCAAAACGATTAGTTAAACTCAATCTCCCAAGAAAGGAGTCACACACAACTCAAGCAGAACTGTGAAAGTGGTATAACACTGTATATTAAAAAAGAAAACAATCTTGTTCTTTCTCCTCTCTCATTTATTTTTCATCTGTTTTAATTTATGATCTGGTTTGAGAAATCAGATACCGCAGGTGTTTTTATTTTTTCAGTTCATTCATGTAACTGCCTGGCAAAAAGAAAAGACAGAGAAAAAAAACCTTAAAGGGATTGTGTATTTGTTTGATTCAACTTAGAATTTTTATTTTCTTATAACTTAAGTGCAATAAAATGTGGGTTTTTTCAATTTTCATTTCAAGCATTTCAGTTGTCTGTTTGTCACTGTGTTATGTGTTCAATAAAGCCTCTTCGGTTTGTTACGTTACTGAGGGGAATACTTTCAAATACTTTGTCTTCAGCGCACGTTTCAGCACACACACTTCGCATCGCAAGTTAAAGCGGTAACCACGATAACATGTAAGAGATTAAGTTTAAGATTACTAGCATGGTGAACAAATGAGTGTGCTGGTGCTTGGTTCTTCTACACGCCAGTGTTCCTTGTGGTGTTGGAAGTCTCGTTTCCATAGTATTTACACTACCGTTCAAAAGTTTGGGGTCGCTTAGAAATGTCCTTGTTTTCGAAAGAAAAACAATGTTTTTTGTCCGTTAAAATAACATAAAATTGATCAGAAATACAGTGTAGACATTGTAAATGGATATTGTAGCTGGAAACGGCTGATTTTTTATGGAATATCTACATAGGCGTACAGAGGCCCATTATCAGCAACCATCAGTCCTGTGTTCCAATGGCACGTTGTGTTTGCTAATCAAAGTTGATCATTTTAAAAGGCTAATTGATCATTAGAAAACCCTTTTGCAATTATGTTAGCACAGCTGAAAACTGTTGTGCTGATAAAAGAAGCAATAAAACTGGCCTTCTTGAGACTAGTTGAGTATCTGGAGCATCAGCAATTGTAGGTTTGATTACAAATAACTTTCTTCTGAAACCCGTCGGTCAATTCTTGTTCTGAGAAATGAAGGCTATTCCATGCGAGAAATTGCCAAGAAACTGAAGATCTCGTACAACGCTGTGTACTACTCCCTTCACAGAACAGCGCAAACTGGCTCTAACCAGAATAGAAAGAGGAGTGGGAGGCCCCGGTGCACAACTGAGCTAGTTGAGAATCAGACGCCTCACAGGTCCTCAACTGGTAGCTTCATTAAATAGTACCCGCAAAACACCAGTCTCAACGTCAACAGTGAAGAGGCGACTCCGGGATGCTGACCTTCTAGGCAGTTGCAAAGAAAAAGCCATATCTCAGACTGGCAAATAAAAATAAAAGATTAAGATGGGCAGTCTGAGATATGGCTTTTTCTTTGCAACTCTGCCTAGAAGGTCAGCATCCCGGAGTCACCTCTTCACTGTTCACTGTGGGGATGTTTTTCAGCCGCAGGGACTGGGAGACTAATCAGGATCGAGGGAAAGATGAACGGAGCAAAGTACAGAGATATCCTTGAGGAAAACCTGCTCCAGAGCACTCAGGACCTCAGACTGGGGCGAAGGTTCACCTTCTAACAGGACAACGACCCTAAGCATACAGCCAAGACAACGCAGGAGTGGCTTGGGGACAAGTCTTAATGGCCTTGAGTAGCCCAGCCAGAGCCCGGACTTGAACCCGATCGAACATCTCTTGAGAGACCTGAAAATGGCTGTGCAACGAGAAACTCCCCAAATACAGGTGTGCCAAGCTTGTAGCGTCATACCCAAGAAGACTTGAGGCTGTAATCGCTGCCAAAGGTGCTTCAACAAAGTACTGAGTAAAGGGTCTGAATACTTATGTAAATGTGATATTTCAGTTTTGTATTTTTAATAAATGTGCAAAACTTTCCCAAAACCTGTTTTTGCTTTGTCATTATGGAGTATTGTGTGTAGATTGATGAGGGGGGGAAATAAATGTAATCCATTTAACAATAAGGCTGTAACGTAACAAAATGTGGAAAAAGTCAAGGGGTATGAATACTTTCCGAATGCACTGTATGTGCCTGCACTGTTGAAATCCATAGTGTTTTGTATATTCAGACAACTTCCAGTTTAAGGTTGTGGTTTCTTATCTGCCTGTTGCCTAGGGATAGCTCCTTTCCTTGTTCAGGCTGCAGTATAAAAGGCTCTCTCTGAATATAAAAAGGCATGAAGACAGGTAAAGTATCCCCTCTTGTTGACAAGTTTATCCCTTCATGCCTATTCCATCTGAGACTGCAGTCATTGTGATGCAAACAGGCTGTGGTTGTAGTTGTGATTTAAAAAAAAGAATGGAATGATTTGGGTTTAGGGGGAAAAATAGATGCACTCTTATATGCCCGAGTACAATTTTGTGAGATTTAGTGATATTTCCTGTTAGGAATCGGTAAAGGTTCTTGTAATGTTTGGATGCTTAAAAGTTTCAAATCTATAAAGACGAGACAACAATTTCTAGTTATAAGACCGGAAACCGCACTGGAACAAGTTTCAAACATTCTACACTAATTTTAATGACAGAATATATATAAAGGTAATAATAAGCAAGGAAAAGTAATTCTGAAAAATGCTCCCTGCAGGTACATTTCAACCAATGGAAGTAGCAGCCCACAGGTTTCTGAGTGGATAGCAAAGACACGGTAGCCTCATTACAAGACACTGATGTAGATCCACAGCCACTCTTTTAATGCACTTCATTTTGGGACGTGATGAATCGGCTCTATTCCTTCAAGTTATTAGCTATTAATCTACTTGATACCCCTCCCCCCTCCTTTCTCCTACCTTCAGGCATGATTCATTTCTCTGCCTTGTAATTCACTCTGCAAATATGCATTGCAGCCAGTGCCCATTGATGGATGTATCCTATTTCCATTGACTCACACAATACCTAGCCTGGCGTGCTAGCCAAGGGTGGTAAAATAAGCAGGAGAGACCAATCTGCATCCCAATGGCACCCTATTCCCTTTACAGTGTACTAATT